GTGCCCAGCCACTCGTCGTCCTCCTCACAGGCAGGTGGAGCTCACCTGGAGCTCACAGGAACTGTCAGGCCTTCTCCAGCACTCTCAGGGAACAGCAGCATTTTGCTCCTTCAGGCTACTGACCGTGTCTCCCTTGGTCTCTCCAGAGAGCCAGCAGAGCTCTCTGTCCACTGCCCAGCAGCACCTCCCCTGCATTCTGGAATGCTGGCAGGACCCTGGTGCTGCAGCCCTTTTTGTAAGTTGGTACAACATGTTTCCCATGCTGGGCTGGGCTTTGTCCTCTTCCTGAGGCTACAATCCAGTCCCTGTGGGGTTGGCAGCAGCCTCTGGGCAGCACCTCACAACGTTTCCAGTGGGTTCCCACCACGAGATTCTCTGTCTCCACTATGGAGTCCAGTCTGCAGTTTGTGGCAGGGAGGAGAGGGGAGACAGGCAAAGTCCCCGTGCAGTTCATGGGCAGCAATTTGGTGCTCACTTACTGCCCTGTGAGCCACAGGGGCATCGTCTCCTACAGGTGGTGGCAAAGGAAAACAAGAGGACTAAGAGAGTGAGCATGATGTTGGGTGTTACGGCCTAATTCTTTGTAGTGTGATGAAGCTCTTTTTCCGTTCACACTGCCTGTCCTGTCACTGGGTCCCCTAACTGCTGGTTGTGATGCCTGAAGGACAGGCTTTTGTCAGATGGGGAGCTTTCTGCACTCCTTTCTCCCTCTGAAGAAGTAGGTGTGGGCTTTGATGGTGCCCCCTCTGCCTGACTTTGTCAAAGAGTGGTGTGTGTCATGCTTCTTGGTCTTATGAGCTGTACCCCAAAGGGCTGAAAGCCATGACACACACACCTCGGGAGCCATGGGAAGGAGGGAAAGGCCTGGCACCGCTTCAGTGGCTCTGGGGTTTTAACTCCTCCTCTGTCAGAAAGGCTGAGCTGGGCTTGCAGCCAGGCCCATCACTGCTCACTCCCTCCCTCCAGAAGCAGGGACAAGCGTGCTCAGGTGCCGGGCCAGTGCTGCCCGCTGGGTGTGGGAGACCTCTAGTCACCTGCCTGCAGGGGCTGGTAGCTGCCAGTTCCTGCCTGAGCTGTCTTCTCTTCAGCTGGCTGCTGAGAAGATGCCTGCTTCCCGCCTGGATTTCATACCGCAGCTGATCTAGTGAGCGCTTAGAGAATCAGAAGAAAAATCACTTAAATATTTTCTGTCGTGCTGATTTTGTAATGGGATAGGCACCTTGGTGTA